GTCCGTTTTTTCTAACACGGATGCCATACCAACTGCAACTGGAATAATGCCGTCAAATCCGCCAGCAAGTCCGACAGATGCTGTGATGTACATTCTCTATTGGTTCTAATTTTTGGCTGATTATTTTTGTAGAAGCGGTACGATTAATCAGAGTGATGTACTTGCGACCATAACTGAAAGCGGCCGCCCTCTAATCATCAGGTACCAATCGCCAGCTATAAATCGTTTTAATTGATTAATTTATTGTCTGCCCCCTTCTAACCCTTCCTTCACTACTCTTATCGCCCGACAGTCAACTAGTCAGCGGCAACACCACCGTCCTCTTCACCCTCACCTCTCCCCCTGCTATTGCATCCGCCCAACCTCCATTCACACAAGGTAACCCCACCCAAAACTCCCAAACCCACAAGCCACCTCCGAATCCCCTCAACCCGCCAACCCGCTCGGAACTCTTGGTCTTCCGCTTATTGTCGGAGTATTCACGTTTGCATTCACTGTTGTGATCATGGCTTTTCTTATTGTTTGGTGGAAACGGAAAAAAACAAAAGCTGAACTGATTGGAATTGTGAGTGTTTCATAAATTGTCGTTGCCAAAGGCTGACACTTTTCATATTTTTCATAGACTGTAGAAGCACCAACACAACCTGATCGGCCTTTATGGAAGAAGTTGATATGATGGTACCAGCTCCCGCATACTCTGAGACACTGTTCCGCTCGAGACCTCAAGATTTTATTGACTCCGCCCAAAGGTCTATATCACATTCCAGCCCTGCACCTATTTCAGACTTAACCACTACACCATCGAAACTTTTCAACGCTGGGCAAACCAATGCGTCAACTTTATTCCAGAAAGATGTGGTTGAACTTGGGAGGGCCAACTTGAATGTGGATTTGGAGGATATGGGTGATCTAGGTACCATGACAAAGGTCTAAATGTATGTGTAGTTTACATAGAGAATAGAAATCAAATTTACTTGTGATTTTGATGCGAGCTCGAAAATCTTGAAAATGCCCCCATCAATCCATATTTGTCTTTCTGTATTTCAAAAAAGGGCGTCCGGATTTAACCACCAAGCCGAAAGTCTCATCCAAGTCGTGCGGAATGGCGATAGAGATCATGTTGACTAAAAACAAGAATGTTATTTATAAAACTCACCTTCGAGCACTTGCGTCTATGTTCTGCACATAAGGTCTTCACACTTTATCTTCTTGATGTCATGACATATAATGTGGTTATTACACCCCGAAGTCCACCACTTGCGTCAGTCAGCGCACCAAGGTACCACACATTGTGGCGTTTCTCCAGCACACTGAATCACCTACCGAGGACGTTCCTTTGACTTGACAATCGCATACAGGTGGTTTTGGGTACCGTGTCATATGGGACCCCAAAACGTGGAGGTATCCACGTCTGAATAGTCTGGAGCGTTTTCGTAGGACTGGACATCATTGCAAAAGCACCGGAAAAACAAGATAAAAAGGGTGGAAAGTAATAATTTCTTTGTCTAAATCTTCATCATCAACAGCAGTATTCTCATCTACAGGCAGACGGCGCACCCACTGCGCGAACCCGATGGAAAAATTCTCGAATTCCTTATCATCAGTATCTTTGTCCGCCGCTTTCTCGCGTTCCCTCCAGAGTTTGACTTTAAAACCCCGGTTTTATCGTTGCCTTTCTTGCTACAGTTCTTTGCTACATTCACAACAAGACCTTTTAGTCCCGCCAAATGCGGATCGTGAGGTCCTGCAATGGCTTTGGCCGCGTCCACCTTGCTTTTGTACGTGACAAAGCCAAATCCGGCGGACTTCTTGATCCCCTTTTCCGTCATGATAAACCCTTCCACTACTTTCCCAAACCTTGAGAACGCATCCACCAATGCATTCTCATCAACTCACCATTCCAATCCTCCTACGTGAAGGTTTGTACCTTCCACAAGTTTTCTCCACAACCCCTCGTTCATTTGTCGGTTCTGACAATCCTCTCTGGCGCTTTCCTTTTCGACTTCGCCTGGAGCGCTCTTTGCTTGCCCCTATCTATGTCCGCCCTTAGGTCCTGGCTCAAGCGTCGTTCTTAAGTCTGCTTTATAAGATAGCCCGCATACCTTTAGAATCGTCAATGATGCCTTTCGTTTTGAAGACCACCGTGAGTATCTTGAGTGCCAATCCAAGACGGAACTTCCAAGCGGTTTTATTGTTGAAATCTGTCACCACCTCTGGTTGGGCGACGTCCGGGTACTCAAGTGCTCTCGGGCCCAACAACAATTCTTGAAATCGATCCGCGTGTTGGAGGTCCGACTGTGAGATTATAAGATAACCTCACCAAGAGGCATGAATGCGTCGCTTGTATAGACGTCGTCGCCCTTATCCTTATTTCCTTGCTCCTGTTCCATTCTTTTCCCTCTCAGGGTTTTTCATAGTTTTTCCCCATAGATAGGAGAAGGTTTTTTAAAAAAGGGCGGTTGATGTGGTGTGCCAACTTATGACATGCTAGCACGTTTGTTAAGATGCCTGTTGTTGTTATTTGATTCCCCTTTATGAATTGTTTTATATATTTGTAGAAAGTTGAATAGATTTACGTACACCTCTTTAGTCCTGGATTAAGCCCTCTGCACATTCAGGCCAGCCGCTGGTGGGCTGTGCTATCATTTTTCCCCTTTATTCACTATGGTGTGTTGAGTTGTACTAGCGGGTGCTCTGGTTCAAGACATTGTCTAAGAAGGTATGAGCTGTGGGAATACGCCTCAAGGGCATGATTTCTTTGAAGGTTTGGTCAGTATAACTACCTCTGTTCTATTCTTGATGGCTATGACAGGCTATCTAGTTGCCTGTGAGTGGGAGCGGCATGAGCAGGGGTGTAGGTAGATGAGATTGATATAGGAATTGCGGCATATATCGGAGCGGGATGGAATCCCTTCTCAAGACCCCTTTCCCCTAGTCACTTTAGATCTAGTCTCTAGGCATTTCCTTCCTTTCCCTGTATTATTAACAATTAGAACGAAACCACAGCAACTTAAATCCCCGCTATCACTAAAGGCAGAACAGGGCTTGACTCTTGATCTAGGAGTACTTCCTAGACTCTAGTCTCGTCACCTATTATGTGGTTCTCTACCTCTGTATGCCGGGGCTTAGCAGAGGGGGCCACACAGAGAACTTCACAAAATGTAACTGGTTGCCTGTAAAGTGTGAGTAATGTTTTTTCGTTATTTGTGGCTTCTTCTGGTTAGAGGACTTATGTTTTCTACAGTGCGAATCTAAAATGTAACGTAGTGTTGATATTGGATAAGAATTCTAACGCTGCGGCTAGACTTTCTGCGGATTTGGCTAGTATAGTAATGTTGTGCTGCGTAAATCACTATCAGTGCTTTAAAAACTATGACGAATTCTCTTGTCATGGAGTCAATGAAGAAGGTGTACAAGATAGGGCTGAGAACACATCCTTGGATGAGCCCCCTATCAAACCTGTAGGCGTAACTTGTTCTGCCGTTGATAATGACTTTGGCCATGCATCAGTCGAACATGCTGCACGAGTATGTTGACTAACGACGTTGTACATCCTCTTCAGTTCAGCTCCGCCCATAGGAGATCGGTCTACCAAGTCTTATGTAGCTTTGATATCAAGAAAACATAACCAGTGTCCTTGTACCTTTCTGTTTGAGTTAGCGATGAGGGCTTGGAGCAGAGCGGCCTGCACCGCAGTACTGCGTCAGGACCAAAAACCTTGCCATGTACAGGGTTGTCCAGGTGAGGATGTATGAAATACTTTTGAACGTAGGTTGACAATTTGCCGCGGTTTCTCCCTCCCTCCAATCAATCACTATCAATTCCGCGTATTTGGCCTTGGGGAAGCAGTTCTCTACGATGAACTAATCCTTGAACTTTAAACATATCCAGAGTTGAAACTCATCCATGAGCAACCATCCTGACAAAGACCTGTTCAAGGGCCTCAAACTGTTGACAAATAACGTTGAGGAATGTGATACCTTACCCTAAAGTTCCAAGGTATCCTGATTGTTCCTTGCAGCCGTTGGCTTCAAAGTAACGCAACGAGGAAAAAGCAGATCCACCCACCCAAAATGCAACCTCCCAGTCCCTAGGTCATTCCAGTCGTGACGATGCATCCAGAGTTAGTCCTGTACTGCTCCCACATCCTGTACCCATTGGGACATTGCTCTCCTTTGTTGAAGGCGGAATGACAGAGGGACTCTTTCTAAACATAGAGTTTAATTAGATGACCAATGAGTGGTACCGTGCAATCCGTACATATGCTGAAATTATACAATGTCAACGTAGAGATTGCTTGCAGCAGTATAGGCAGTTAAATATCTCTAAAGTATATTACAACCACTCTCATTAATCTTTCTAAATACGTAACTGGCTGCAAATGGCACTGGAATGAAGTAAGCAAGGTAAATAAAACAAAAACCAATATACTCTTTAGGTTAGAACAATTAAAAAATTTTAGAAATTTTTGAAAAAAAATGCATTGGCCGGGAATCGAACCCGGGGCTAACCGATGGCAACGGTTAATTTTACCACTAAACCACCAATGCTGATATCGTACATTGAAGCTGACCGGATTTGAACCGACAACCTTGTGGACTGGAATCACATGCGCTACCATTACGCCACAGCTCCAATCAAACGCGACAACGGCAGGACTTGAACCTGCGCTCCCGAAGGAATTTGATTTCTAGTCAAACGCCTTAACCGCTCGGCCACGTTGTCATTACAAGTGAAGAAATCGAGCCTGCCAGGGGTCGAACCTGGAATCTCTTGATTCGTAGTCAAGCGCGGTAACCATTTTGCCACAGGCCCTCACCAAAAGAGGTAGAAACTGCCTTTAACCAGAGTTGAACTGGTGACCTCCTGCTTACTAGGCAGACGCTCTAACCAACTGAGCTATAAAGGCCCATTAGAGTGGAGAATCGGGGTATCGATCCCCGTGCCTCTCGCATGCTAAGCGAGCGCTCTACCATTTGAGCTAATTCCCCAGAAAATATCTCCCAGTCCGGGAATTGAACCCGGGTCTCGCCCGATCTGCTTTTAAAGTGACAGGGGCGGATACTAGCCACTATACTAACTGGGAATTCCAACGTGCCATTTTACCAGCCACTTGCCCTCATATTCACACCACAGAAAAATAATTGTCGCGATTTAACGAACACCGACGGGGAAACATCGGAGTCAGAAATAATCCGCTCAGAGCTACCAAACCGATCATATACGTCGTGGCATGGTGGTTCCTCATCATTGCAAATATGATTGCCACAGTCGGCGTAACTCCAACAAATTGGAACGAAATGTTAGTTCACCCAGTATTCAATGTCGGCAAAGGGATGCCACTCGAGGTTGACAAACCCAGCCCATATCCCTCTCACAAGTCCTACAGAAAGTACATGGAAGACTTGTTACTCTATCCAGAAAACTTGGGAGCACACCAATACCACAGCGTTGACGAGTTTGTTTTACGAGCTTTGCAGGCAATTCAGGAAGCACCAATCTCCAATCCGTGCTGGGATGGTTTGGTTACTAGTTTTGAATCATTACACAGCCAGATGATTGTAAAGAAACCGACGGCAAATTGGTGATCTGGATACTCTCAACAATGGATGAAACAATGAGGAGTGCAATCACAGAGGCAATGCACTGTGAAAGGCACTCCTTAGCCGTCATCAATGGGATCAAGGACCAGTTGCGTACTGTTCAAGGGGATTTGAAAACACCGCTACGTCTTCTGGAGGGACTGTGAAGGCGTTGTTTATTGGTGCTTTAGGTGACATTGCTGCAGATAAGGTATAGCCTCTCACCCTTAAGAAGATCAGCTCGGCGCTTTGAGAGTATCTGAGGGAGGTTAGGCAGGTGATTGGTTTTCAAGCTGACACGGATAAAGGTCCCAACGCAATCCTCAAAGAGACTATGCTGTTGTTAAGGCCTTTGGTCAGGCGGTCAGCTTTGGTCGCACCCCATTCATCCCTTAGCAGGAACCTTTCACGCAACACCCAAGACCCAGCAAGTGGCAGTGGATCCACCGGTTGATGATCTTGCTTAACAATTTGAGGGTCTCAAATCTACATCCAGAGCGCAATCAAACCGCCTAAGCAAGGGTGGGGACCCAAAAAGGCGTTTCCACGAGGGGGTCCACAGGTAGCTCTTGGGATAAGGACACGGCGGCAACAGTGGCCAACAAAGGTAGAGGCGCGGAACGTGCCAGGGCAGTGGCTGATGCGGGGTCCAGCAGGGGTTGGGCATAGGAGGGTGCTGGTGGAGAGAGCCGCACTGTCAAGGAGTCGGAAAGAAGGAAGAGCTAGCCGGACGGTCCGCACAAAAGGGGCCCTAAGCCTGCGTGCAGTTCCAGTCGCGTGTCCAGCAACCTTGCAGCTGCTGCATACCTTCTAGTAGGGGCAAGGGGCCTTAGCGCAGTGGATGCCGAGGTTACGGTTGTGACACAAACCAGGCGGAAGAGGAGTGCAGGAGCAAGTATTAGAGGCAGTCAATGGGTTGTTAGACTTTGTGTCTGGGGGAAGTGGGTGTGGTGTAAGGTAGTGTGACATCTTCCGGAGCAAGGAGGGAGCCATCAGCGACTGTTGTTGAGACAAAAACAACTCCTGCAGAGACCCCCACTGCTTCAACCACTGTCAGTACCTCCTACTTCAACGTCACGCCAGAAAAGGCCATCAGGATCGTCTCGTTGCTCCCTTTTGGTTTGGTCACCGATGGTATCCCAGTTGCTATGATGGTTGAGGAAGTTTTGAGGGCCAAAGAAATGATACGGTTGATGGTGTCGGTAAGAGAGCACGGGATTTGAAGGACGAAGGAGAGCAGATTCCTCGAGTTGCTATCAACTGGCCACCCAAACCCGGCATGGCAGTTGTCTATCCTTGCAGAATTAAGGATGCAGCCAAGCTTACAAAGGTGGCCAATTCCGCAATCCTTCCTCTGTCGTCTTCTACACGGTTATCAACAGGTTCATCACCTTTAGAGTCAGGAGCAGAAGCGATAAAGGCTACAGGAGTCTCTTTGTCGGGTACGGAGGGGAAGGATGACAAAACGTTGGGAGAGGTTGAGAAGGATAAAAGGAGAACAGAAATGGTTGACCTTGCTAAAAAGGTTGTGACGGAGGGAAGAGGGATGAGGAGAGTCCTGAAAAGAGGAGGGAGTTGGGGGTGGAAGGTAAAGAAGTAGGGGGTCAGAAGAAAAAGAAGAAGAAAAAGGAAAGGAAGGAGGGATCGGCGGTTGAAAACTGCAGCAAATAGACTTGATGGTGGGGTAACTGGACAAAAGGGTAAACAAGCAGCAGTATCGGCACCAAAAACCCCGCACGTTCCCCAACTATCCCCAAACCCCGATTACACGATCCGCCGGGGTATCCACCTGACCAATGAGGAGCTTCTCCACGTTATTGACAGCCTTTTTAAATAACTGGCTGCTTCCTCACTGACAATCACCGTTAGGCTTTCAGTCTACAAGAAAATTGGGGCGTCTGTGAGGATTGAGGAAGGCGCGTCAATCAATATGAGGGGAGCTCCTGGCCATACCAGGAAGCTCGTGGGGCTCGTCCCCAGGCTTCCTGTTAAAATATTTGGCCTCACTTTCTGCATCCAAGCCTTCATTATTGACGACACCGTCGACCCTAAACCCCCTTTTGGACTCTTGTTGGGACAACCATTCATAGACTTAGCTGGTGCCAAAACGGTGTGGACAGAAGTAGGCAATCAATGGACGCGTTTCCCCAGCCAACAAGACCCGGAACGTCATCCTGAATGTTAAAACTGTGGACTCACGCGCTAGGGACAATCAGTACAGCACGTCCAGTTTTAGACAAGCTCGTGCCAACCGTCCCCAAGCTTGGTCTCTTTACCTGGAAGATGATCATTAGTTAGCCTTTCCTTTTCATTTGATATCTCATTTCCTATTCACTCTTTACCTTCTTTTGTCTCGCTATTCTTTACACTTTACCCCCCCTCCCATTTGTCCTCAATAAATCTGACATCCCACTTGACTTTTCTTTTGGATTGACTTTGACTTTTCGCGTCGGTCTTATTCTTGCCGCTTTATTTGATTGCTTATTTTTGTCTCGCAATATTTCCGGGATAATTACTGGCTTGAAAACCTAGTGCAACATCAAAATTGATAGAGTTTTTGCGGTCCAAGACCTACGTTTGCGTCATATCGTACCTGTGTGTACGACGCTTAGGCTTGAGGGTTTGCTGCAGTGTCTCGAACGATCTGTATGGTACCGTTTAACGGCGTAGACTCTCTTAAAATGTACTATAAAGTACGGAACATCGTGGCAGCTTATCGGCGGATTTAGCCATACGGTGTTGTATTATAGCAGTCGTATGGCGGCGTACGCATTTATAATATTTTCAAGATTACATTCGTAGTGGAAGTTTGTTAGAGCAGAAATCACGAAGAGTATTCGTGAGGATGTCGCCAGAATCGGTTCGGAGTTCAGCGACGTTGTCTCCTGATTTATTCTTAAATTGACAGATCATTGAAATGGGAGACGATTGCGATTTATCTTTCACAAAGCGGATGTTTATAAATCGCGTATATATGTCAACGAAAGAAATCGAGTAATGTTCACGTTGTATGCTTTGACACGGTAGAGGTACTGTATCAGCGTGAAGTCGGAAAAGTTTCCGTGGTGCTGGATACGTCGTTGCGGATATTGGACGCTGGACGGCTTTGTTTTGAGCACAGATTTAACAGTTTTTAATAATTGAGGAGTTAATAAAATCAAGTGTTTTTGCGTCAAACTGCAGTTTATTTAACTTTGCATCTACATGAGTCATTGTTCGAATGATAATTCAGGGATGAACATGTCCAAATCGTTTTTGCACTAAAACAATCTCCTTTATGAACGCGTCTGTTCTTCTTTCTAGAAGTCCAGCTGTAGAAGTACGATTAGTGTGAGGAATATAATCGGTTTGACTTAACTTACATCAAAGTCACTAAGTTCAGCCTCACTTGTGTCGGTACTGACTGCGTTCCCCGAAGGGACTCCAGTACTGTGATCTTCCGCGTCTGTAGTGTTGCAACACTCAATTCAGGTTTTGAGATCGAAGTCCTGGTCAGACGAGGTGAATGGGCTGAGAAGTGTCCATGACGTATGATGGATAATGACAAAACTCATGACAAACACCGGATTTTCATTCTCAGTGTTTATCAAGTTACGCGAGACGTGCTACTATTAATTCGCGTTGGGGAAACCGCATATACATCCTCCCATTGTCCGAGTTTTTACAGCTGTAATTATTACTTGTCTCCATTAACAGCTTTTAGGCATGGTATAGGCAAGCTTCAAAATCTCTTCCATCATGAGTCAGTTGTCCTGGATAATCAGTGTCCGTTCTGCTCCGAAAAAGGCTATGGGCTGGTGGCTTGTGATGGGATCAGTGTTGGATACAGTTTAGATCAACAGACCGGGAACCTACGACCTCCTACGCATACCAACAACTCAAGTCCCCTGAATGAGGAGGTCAGGTACATGAAAACAAATGGGTAAGACATTACTTAAATACTTAGGAATATTAATTGATTCAAAAGTTTATCAACGGCCATGCAAATCGCAAGAAGATGCTTCAGTTTGCTGGAGCTTATCGGACGGCCAAGAAAGGAATTACAAATATTATTGAGAGCATGGCGTCAGAAATTAGTAATTCACTTCAGACGCATTGGGGATCTTGGCCTTAATATATGAAGTGGATCACTGACTTACACTGGGCAGAGGGTGAATACACTGCTTTCCGCCACCTCATTGAAGTTGTAAGTATTATTTTTTTATCACTTGCCACTCAAATGTACGGTTGCGTACGCATGCGTACGGGTACATATTGTACTGTACGGCTATGTTGTCTGCCATAGTATGGCGTACTGCAACGTACGTTGTTGTACGATCTTCAATGATATATAGTTTATCAATTCAGATTGTATGTGAACAACCTGTTGTAACGGTGATCTTGCCCGGTGGAAGAACCTTTCTGCAACATATAACGACATGGGATGATTCAGACACGACTGGGAAGCTGGACTTGATACAGGCACTTCAAAAATATGTTTCATCTTTTGGCGAGGTTGTATACT